TTCTTTGGGAATCTCATCTACCCCAAGAGTTTCCAGTCATCACCTTTATTCAGTATCACATATCTAAAAGTCTACTGGATAACATGGAAGTCTTACTGTCACTTCAAATGCAATACATCCAAAATTGTATTCACACTCTATCTGTAAAGGTTTTCCTGATTTTCTTTCATTATACTGCCATTCTCCCAACCATCCAAATACAAAACTATAGTGTTCTTCAACTTCTTCCTTTACTACTCACACCTCCACAGATCCTATTAGTTCTTCCTTTGAAAAAAATAACCCATCTTCTACTTTTACCCCATAGTAACTTCTCCTATTTCATTTCAGGCTTGAATCACCTGCATATTTCTGTCAAGGTCTTCCTTGAAAATTGCTCTCAATGTGCCATTATATTTTATTCAACAGTATATAGTACAAAGTTATATAATTTACATTGAAGTTTCTCTAAAATTTAGCCTAACCTGGTTTTCTGGAGTGTCTATTATAAACCTCACCACACGATCTCTATTACCTACAAATATTCTGCCTTTTCTGAGCTCTTTGCTTTTGTTCACATTCTTCCTATCTCCCCTACTTTCTTCACTCCACTGAGATATCCTCTCCACTAACTCCACCCATTGAAGTTAGCTCCATTCAAATCCTTTCTTCTCTTCAAGACTCAGGATTATCTCCCCTATGGTGTTTACTCTGATCATTCCGAGAGGAAGTGATCATTCTCTTTTTGAATCCTTACTCTTCTATTTGCATGCTCTTAGGTAGCATGCAATTCATTCTAGACACATTACCTTCTCAATCATGCAGTAATTACCTAGAAATGAAAAGCTAATCTTGTTAACTCAGTTATGAATTTGTACCTTTAATATAGTTGTTTACATTGTAAATGGAACAGAAAGAGGGAGATAATAGATTATACTCCCAATTGCTCTCAATTATATTTAAATATGGTTATGATCTGGTGTGGAATGTGTTTAACCAGAAGCTAAAATGAGTTTGGGTCCACATGATCTACCCTGCAGACATCTGGCACTGAAATCTGGGAATGCTGTTATGACCTCTTAGCCCCTAAATGGACATGAATCTTATGGAACTGACATCAGCACTTAGGAAAAAGAGTTAATGCATGTAACAGCTCTTTGAAATCCTTTTACACTAGGAGGGCATTCCCTACCTATTTAAAATAAATTAGATTTAAAAAAAAACAGCCCTGAGAGAGAGAAACCATGTTTCAGAATGTTTTCTAATGTGAACTTATATCCTTAGTGCCTAACAGAGTGATGTGCATATTGCAAATGCTTATTAAATATGTGTAAGGGAGCATCCTGCCTTCACTTTTGCCAAATCTAAGTAAGGGGATAATTTTGAAAATGAAAGATAAGAACTCAACAACCATCATCTGATACTCCCATCTTTGTGGTGTGGGAATACACTTAGTGGGAGCAAAACACTCCCCTATTAGTAGCACCTTCTTTCCTCCTTCAGCCTCTATTAGGAAAATACAT